TCTGTCTGTCTGTCTGTCTGTCTGTCTGTCTGTCTGTCTGTCTGTGGGTTCCCGACCTGTCGCCTGATCCAAAGAACACGTTTTTGGAGCACTTGCCCAAACTATCTTCCAGGAGTGCCAAAGTGCCAAAGACCATTCAATGGAGTGCCCAAGCAAGGAGTGCCCCTGTCACATCCACCCACTGGATGCACACCCACCAGGTCACTGCTCTTCTTTCAGGACGGTCGTTGTGACCCGTCGCGCGTCCTCGCCTGTGAGCCGCTCGCCAAGCGCTTGGCCAAACTCAGGCGCCGCTTCTGCCCACCGGAGATTCCACGCAAGGAGGTGCCATCTCCGATGTAGGTGTCCTTTGCAGCGCAGGACACTGCGCGTCTTCTACGTGATTCCCGGCTGGGCCTACACTGGGTGCTTAGAGGTTCGGTGTTTTTGTGGTTCAGCGTAGATACAGGGGTTGGGCTGTAGGTGTCTTTTCAAAAGTCAGGTGCCAAATGGGAGTTCGTTGGGATATATCAGGTGTTAACAGGTAAAAGTACAATAGCATACAATGCCCTGCTGCTAGTGAAAAGGTTTTGACAAGGAACACCATAAATATAGGTACAGCAAAACAGATTGGAAATCCCAATCAACTGGAGACGTTCTTCAGTGCACAAAAGGATAACAGAAAACTTGCTCATCTACATTCCATTCCTTACATGATTGAATTTAAACCTCTCGCAACAAAATAACAAGTAGTCCACTCGAGTCAACTGGGGTAGTCATTCCCAGATAAAGGGTTGAAAAGTCGAAGGTATAAACGAAAGCAAAGCAGCTCGTTAGATCCTATTACGCTGTTGATTTATAATATGCATATTTACAGTACCACCAATCTTTTTGACGTACAACAATGGGCTACCCTTCACTGCTTATGGATCTCCATAATTAGACACCCCAGGATGGTCCTGCACATCCAAACATGTCAATGTCAACATGAAAAAACCCTCTTCCCCACAAAAGTCTGAAATCTGCTTCCCGAACCATACCGAACCCTTTGGGACTCATCGTATTACCCAAAAGCCGCAGCACCAGATGGTGACCAACATAAACAGGAAAAAATAAACGTCGGATAACGCCGGGTCGGTCTCGCGAGGTCCTTCACTTGATCAAGACCTAAGACCTCCAAACGTCGCTGGATCCACTGCTGCGCCATACTCTTGCTCACCATGGACGGCCGCTCAAACTTCCTCGGACGCAGCCGCAGCCGCGGCCGCGGGGCGCACCCGCGGGTGCTTTTTCGACGTCCAAAATGGTCGCAAGGTTCGTGCAGAGTGCACCGGTTCTCTCTGCGCTCGTTTCTGCCCCACGTCGACCTCCAATGCAGGACGTGCGACCCAAGAGTTCAGGAGCCTCCAGAGCGACATATCCCAGTGGATCCAGTAGGTACCAGTACCAGTGGTTCGAAAGACTAAAAGGACATTGACATTGATGTATCCTCCAAGAATTCACCGCCGATGAACATGGTAACAGCCTCAGCCGTGGACCGAACTTCCGCTGTGCTATGCTCACTCAGCTGTCCCTTGCGTTGAGGCCATACTTTCTGTTCACTCCAGACAGTGTTCCGGGTAGAGTCCTTTGGTCGCCACCAGCATGAATTTCATGGCGCACAGCTCATGGATATCTGTTCAGGATCATTTGCTTATTGACGTGGTTCAGGCTCATAAAAAAGAAACGTCGGAGCCAAGATGTGCATCACAGGCAATGTGGATTGCACAATCCTAGCTCTTGTGACTCTTGTGAAAGTTCGAGATGCTTTCCGTTGTTTTCTTCTCTCATTCTTTCTCACCTGCGTAGCCTTTTCTCAGCCCACATCAATTTCGGGGGGGCACACGCATCGCCGATCTCGGCCGTGGCATCGACTTTGATCCAGCAAGGTCCACATGTTGGTGAAAGTGAGTTGGGATTGTTGGGAGGATGAGCCTCCGGGACCGACACGGTCTCTCTTGTGGGGCAACGAATTCGGAGACGGAACGCTCGGACACCTCCAACTTCTCGGTCGAGGGGACACCGTGTTTTCATTGAGCACAGACACTTCGACGGCCGCAGCCCTCATTTGATCATTTACTGGGGTCTTTGACGGCTGCGGTGGTTCACATTATCCCTGGACACTCCATTATAATGTATGTCTACATTGACCCCTTTTCAACCACCCCTGGCCGTTTCTCGGCAGTCCTATGGCAGTCCCAGACAGGTCGTGTCTGGGATCCACACCCAAAAACGTCCAACGCGCTTTCAACCACCGGGACGAAATGAGATCAACAGTCCATTTGCGGCCAAAGCTTCAGCATACCATTAAACTCCACCGCCTGAGCCATCAGCAAAATCCAGGTGTCAAAATGGCTTTGTTATGCTTTGTTGTATATTTCCGCCATGAAGACTCACTCAGAAACTCGGTAGCATCTTCAAGTTCAACACTGCCAAGTGACTTGCAGCAGTGAGGGTAGAAACTCATGTTCTCTCAGAACCTCATGATGTTTGGTAGAAACCCCGCTGAACAGTGACCGTTGTAGAATGAGGCAATTGACAAGGTAAGGACTTCATGGACTCTCCGTTCATCTCACAAGCACAAGCCATGCGCCATGCCTCAGTGACGGTCAAATACTTGGGCATCTGATCCTCCTGGCCAAGCTGAAATGCATTAGGGGTTGGACGGGTTGGACCGCCAGGCTGGATTTTAAGCCCTTGGGAGAGGCCCAGGGAGAAGCCTGAAATTCGTCTGAACAGGCCACTATGCCACGCGTGGCCCCGCATTCTCCCAGCTGGTGTCGAGGCCAGGCTTAAACAAAGAAGGGACCCTGTTGCAGTGCAATATGCCAGGTTTAAGGTGGAAAATGAAGGTTGAAGAAGGGGGTCCCTTCTGAACAACCTCCCTAATTATTCTGGCGGCCTGGCGGTTGCATGAAAAACAACTCACATCTGCGCAATTTTTGACATGAGGCGCAAGTTCCGTTCAGAACGTCTTCGCTGGTCCACCGCATGTTCACTAAGTCCCTTGTCACCCGCCGCAGGAATCCAATCCAGGCTCCTGAGGGACATATGCGGAGATCCGCTGGAAGAGCTTGTCCCTGGGACGCCCGTTGAAGTGCACGGTGCCGCCATGCGGGTCACTCTTCCTGAGTCCCAAAGTGGTGAAGACATGGCATCAGACATGGCCCTAACAAAAGAAAGCAATCAGCTCTGAGCTCGGAGTCGGTCCATGTTCAGATCTTCTTCTTGTTTTTCGTGTCGTCCATGGAGCAGGCGGGATGATGCCATGTGGGCGATGTAACTCGAAGCAGCTCGACCGGCTGAACGCTCGACTCCATCGGTGGCGGCTCGCCACCGTGACACCGGATGCGATGTTTAGCACCAGTTGTGTGATGGATTGAAGTTCAGTAACACTATACTGTATATATTCCAGCTGAGTGTTGGTCTTTCCTCCCCTGCACCCCAGTTTTTGGGGCCTAATGTGTGTTTGTTATTGTCTTTTGGCACAATTAGTTGTACCTACTTAATCTCTTAACACGAGGAGAACACAATGGTCATGAGTCAGCTCCTGTCTCTGACTGCTACCCCAAACAAATAAAAGCTTCAGTCCCACTAACATCAGCATGTTTGCTTCAAACTCTTTATACCTGGAACTTTCTCAGAGTGCTTTTTTTCGATCTGCGGCGTGAAAAACATGTTTTGGAGTAACAGCCTTATATTTGAGTCTGCGGACGTTTCTCTAGTTTTCTGATTTTTCTGATATTCCACGGGTGTTTATACACAAGCTAAGGGCGTTTATTGGTGAGCCAAAGGCGTTTTTTCTCGAACATATGTTTTAAGCGGATGTTTATTTCGATCGATTGCGGATGTTTATGTGGTTCACAGACCTAAATAAAGGTATGTTGAACCACCGATCAAAAAAAGCAACCACGAGGTTGCAGGTATATATATATATTAGATAGCTCTCCCTCTCTCTCTCTCTTAATATTATATATATATCTGTGTGATACTATTGATGAAGGAATCTGTGTCGTTACCATATAAATGTGCGCAGTTGGGATGCAGTTGGGATATACTGTACTCTACGACTCGACAACCCAAGTAACTCAAATCACGCTTTATCCAAGAGTCTTTCCAGCCAAAATATCCTCGGCTTTCGGGGCTGTCACGGTCTTTTGAATTGCGCATCAGGCTGCCGCCGCCCTTCCAACAAGGGCAACCAGGAAGGCATTTCACAACGTCTTTCATTCCATCTGTTTGGCATCTCCTGTGTGCACTGCTCGAACCACCAGAAACTAGATTTAACCTCCATGGGACACACCAAACGGCTTTTTTTGATTCAGAGGACCCGAACCAAACAATCAATGAACGATTGAAAGCCGTGACAACTTCGACCACCTTGTGCAAAGTTCACGACTCACGGTTTCAAAATCCACAATGCACAAATCTAATTCTTGGCGACCAACCTGACTCATTGGCTCGACCCACCGTGTGCTGCTTGGATCTCTGCAGCTGCCAAGCACCGCAAGCACCGCCCACATGAAATGGCGGCTCCCTTCCTCGACCCGCAGAGAGTGCTCCCACCTGCTCACCACCGAGTGACTAGGAGAGTGCTTTTCCCGCAGCCTGAAGGGCCCATGATGGCGACCAACTGTCCCGAGGCAAAGTGTCCCGAGATCGGCGCCTGCCGCAACCGCTGGGTGGGACGCTGCCCCGAAACGAAGGAAAGCCGGTTGGCTGGGTGGACTGGGCGAAGAAGTCATTTTGACCGTCCAAGGTTGTTGGAGATGATGGGGGTAACCATGGCATGTTGCTTGGCCTTGCACGATGATGAATCTCTTAAGCTTGCCTGGGAAATAAACAGGCAAGTCTTGGAGCGGCATGGGGTGGTGGGCCATGCACTGTCAAATACATGTCCCTTCTTGTCATTACAAACATTATGTGCATTACGTTTGTTGTCCCAAAACAAACCTACTTAATATATGGTTTGATGATCCTGGAATGTCACAAGGACCCAAGGCTTATTGCGGGCCAAGCATCCAAGATTTCTTTCCTCTCGCCATTGCTCTGTTTGACCTCCGCTGCACGGTTTTGGTTTGTCTGAACCTCCTACTGTTTCTCTGCAAAAACCATCGCGACCAAACTCATAAGCTAAATTCAAATACACAAATAGAAGTGAGTGGTCTGCAACAAGCAACCATGACGCCATATTATGCCATTTGATGGTCTTATGGAGCATTCAATGACCAAGAAAGAGTCTCTCTCTCTCTCTCTGTCTTCTCTCACCTCGAAACTTACGTCCTTGAAGGTCAACACGGTGTCTGAACACCTGCCAAGTCAACAGTCAATTCCCATCCACGTGACTCACGTGGTTCTGTTCAAATGATGCAGAGCTACGACGATTCACCGTAAACAGGAACAAAAGGCAGCATGGGAAACACGTCCAACAAAAATCAACATAATCAACTGCATGCCACTAAAACATATACATCTGTGACTTACTCACTATATATATGTATCCGTATGTGGGGTACTCTCCTAGAGTCCCGCACCCTGTTCATCTATGAGAAAACCACTCGTTTTTTTTATAGGCCAGTCCATACGACCCATTAAACAAAAAGAGAAAAAGAACACCATGCGTCGCCCTCCACACCCTTCGGGGGCCCACCTGGCGTCGCTGAAGTTGGTGTCGCACTCGGTGCATCCCTTCTCCAGGCAGTCCAAGGCCTGCATCAGAGACAAACACCCCACAGGAGGGGCGCCGAGCTCTCGGAGACGGAGAATTGGGGAGGGGGCATTTGGGTTGAAACAATATAGTTGTTTGAATGCTGTGAGGTGTTTTCATATTCCTGTGGCTTGTCATCAGAAGTGTTGCAGGACTTCCAGGTCTACCTGCCCAGGTCAGGGCTTCCAGCATTCCAAACCAACTATACATATTAATATGATACATATGTATTTGTTTCAATTATATAATTGATATTATATATATAATATAGTATATTATACTATATATTACTGTATATACAGGATATTACAGGATCTATACTGTATATGAGGATCGAAAGGTGCAAAGAAAAAGACCGGAACATCAACAAAGACTGGTAACCCCCAGCATGTGAACCCGGCAGGATCCCATCTTTCTTGAGGTGACACTATACGGGGGCACACTTCTGGCCACAGCTATAGCACAACCTCCTTCATCCGCGTTGATCCATCTGGTCGAAACACTTGGCAAAGCCCAAGTAAGATAAAGTAAGTAGGTTTGAGGTTTGTGTAGGTGTTTCATTATCAGGCTCGAAGAAGACTTTGAGCATTATGGGGGCGGCGGCTCCTACCCGATTCAGTAACATGGAGTGTCATTCAGCTCCAAGAGGCCCGTCACCAAACTAGTAGTCCAAGCAACGTCCACTCCGACCCTCTGGAAACCCTTTCAAGGTACATACAACATGCCATCATGGTGCAAGGGTCAGGATTGATGCAGACTTAACTCTAACCCTATAGAATATACAGACAGACTACCTGCTACACAAGCAACCCATGTGTTGGACGAATTCCAATTTTGCCGCCAGGAACCCACCCAAACACTGTCCAAAATAAAAGGTGTCCGGTTTCCGTCAAGATCTTCTTCGAACCAATCGCTGCAACGCACCACATTTCGGCCTCGCCGCTCATCCTCATCTTGGAGTTCCATTTCTTTTGAGCGTCGGTGGGGGTCATCTTCACGAAGCCTGAGGTCGTGCCTGTCGTGCCTCGCTTCGGGTGGCGAAGCATGGCGAAGCATGGCGAAGCATGGCGAAGCATGGCGAAACATGCACACATCCACTATAGGCAATAGCTTGGAAGCAAAGAAACACTAACTGTGAACGCACAAATTTATGTTTTCGCTATAAGAAGGCATCTCACAAGACTTTGGAAGTGACCTCGAGGTGTATTGTAAGTTTTTGTATTGCCGATTCATCATGCAAACTCCTCAACAAAGTAATCCCCAAACACAATGGCTTTCCGTTTGGCCAACCGTTGGGTCGATTTCGGAACGCTTCATCCCGTTTCCGACCGCCGGGTGTGACTCGGTACGGTTCAACTGCAGGAATGAACATGTCCGCGTGGATTGAACAACACATCCCATGAACGTGCCCAGGGCATTTCCTGATTTTCTCCATACCCTTGAGTGAGCCCCGAATTCCGGAGACCAACCCTCACAAGCTAAGGCTCCAGTGCTGCTGCCAATGCTGCTGACCCTAGGCTGTGGGGTCCTGTCCTGGAGGCCACACACCAATTGGCTCGAATTGAAAACGGAATCGGAAGTAAAAGGCTTCCATGGTCTCCCGTCTCCCAAAACATACCTAAACCAACACTTAATAGGTCTCGCAGAAGTGTCTTGCAGGAGGGGTCTCCCAGAAGGGGCCCTCGCAGTAGGGGTCTCACAGATCCAGGTCTTGCAGACTCGCAGCTTCTCACAGCTTCCCCCGCTCCATTCGCGGGAAACGCGCAGCGAGAACGGCTTCTCACAGCTTCGCAGCTCCGGTCATATGTTCGACCTGACCTTCCCTCCCCGCGGTAACGTAGAAGTCGGCAAACAGAATAGATATTGCTGTTGTGTCTGAAAGGTCCGCCTCAGCTTAAGCTGCAACTATCTCAAGTGGACATGCAATGGGAATGGAGTTAGCATTGCTCGCCATAGACTTCTCTTTCAGAAAAAGGCTCGGCTTTCAGAAACAACTGGCTCAGCTTTCGGGCAAAACAGGCTCAGCTTTCAGGAGAAACGGACAAATCTGCCACCGACTCGACCGACTGCCAGTGACTTTGGGCAAAATTCAGCCACCGACTATGGCAAATCAGCCACCGATGTTGGGAAGATCCGCCGCCAACTTTGGCACAATCAGCCACCAGTTTTGGGGGAAAACTGGATCGGTGTTCGAGAAAAAACGCAAAACCTGGCTGACTCCCACCAGACGGTGTCTTCCAGCATGCCGATGGAAGAAGAGTATGAGGTCCCAAATCCCACCTGTCCAGTGCGCACATCCATGCGCATCAACATCTGTCCAGTTCCTTCACCAGCCCTCCAACCCTGGCCGCTGAGCCGAGTCTCGGAGCGGAACAGGTCCGGGTCCTTGTCTGGCCGAAGCTTTCCCATGAGCCATGCAGGTCCGGGCCGCTCGGCCTCGTCGTCGTGTTTCGGCAAACCCTTTTGGAGTATATAATATATAGATCGATATAGATGTGTGGGGAAGCACATCATGTGCGCATGCACAAACTTGAAAGCTTCAAGGGAAGAGAACTGCAAAAAAGACGCTCAGAAAAGGAGTAAGCATGTACAGACCATCTGCGAGGTTGCAGGCAAAAACATGGAAACAGAACGTGGACATGTGGTCAGTGATCACAGAAGCTGTCCGTCATGCTTGAAGCTTTGGTCATAGAAGACATGGCAGGGCCGCCCCAGGACATGCCCGAAAGGCGCCGTGCCTCAGATGCCAGGGTCTGGCTCTCTTCACTGGCTCCTTGGAGCATCGGTCGCGGTGTCCCAAAGAATCAACGTACCAAAGCTAAACATCCGGATGATCCTTGTTTGATTCATTGCATATTGTAAATACATGCGAATAGGATAATATTTGATTTTAAATATACTTAAAATTATTAGACTTGTATAGGCAAGAGTATCGGGTCTGAGTGGAATTTGGTGAGATAAGTATTGGCAAAGAAGGTCTTCTTTGCCTTCGTGGTTGGCCCTTCAGTTGGAGGAAAACTCACTGGTCAGTTGGCCATCGCATGCCATCGCCATCGCTATGAGGTTGGAGACGGATACCTTTGCTATTAGAAACAAAGAAAAGGAAAAGAAAGGTCTACCAGCACCACGGAAAGAGTGTCCATTAATAGCCCCTTAGAGGTCAAGGGGTGTCCATCAACCACTCCTTGGGGGTCCAGGTAAATAAAGCACATGTCTTCAGCATGCAAGGCTATACGATTCCCATGATTCCCACTCTGTGGCCCCGCGCGAACGTCTTCCGACATGGCCAATCACACGTGGTGACCGAACCCGGGTGCGTATGGAAGCTGTACAAATGCTGCCAGTGGAACGGACATAATGTGGCACCTTGAGGAAAGGCCTCTTATGTTTGGTCTAATCCACCCTGAATTTGGTGAAATCACCTCATTCCATGCATCTGGCGTGCTGCGGGCAGCTCGCCCCTTCCGGAGAAAAGCGCGAACCTTGAACGCTGCCGACTTTGCTTCAGTGCGGACCTGTTAAGTACATCTGCAGCCCACCGTCCGCATCTCAAACCAACTCCAATTCCGGTGTTCCAACATGTCTCAACCACTTCAGACATGGTGAATCAGCTCGCACCGACCGAAGAAGAAACGCCATGGTGAATCAGTGCACCCTACCGGCCGGTCCGGTCGCATGCGTGGCCCGAACCGGCTCCGTCGGAGCGTCAGGCGGAGGTTCCGCGACCAGCACGGGGCCCCACCTCCTCTCGCATGGTGAAGGAACGGGAGCTGTTTGTGGGTTGAATTCTGAGGTCCGGCTGGACCTGGACTACACGTGGTTAAGTGATGGACTCTGCCAAAACTGGATGGTTGGCATAACAAAACATCTGAGATTTGTATTCACAACTGATGCAGGATGATGCAGTCATATGGGCAGGGGCAAACCATTATGTATTGGCAGCCGGAGCCGAAGGTGGCTTCGATTCATCTTTTGGTGGATGTTGTAGACCGCAACTGAACATGATTCCAAGTTGTCCCACACGTTGGATGTCGCCATTCCATGTTTTTTTCATGTCTCATGGATGTCTCAAATGGATGCCATTCGTTGGCACCCCTGTCGTCTGGTCCATCAAGGCTTGCGGCTAAATCGTTGCGGCGCCGTCAGCGTCACGGACGCCCCTGCTGTCGAGATCCCGTCCCATCGGGCGGTGCCGGCGGAGCTCAGTGGGTCGGGCCTCTTCGGTCAGAAAGACACATCATCCGGCTGAGTGATATGGAATGGATGTGTATCTTAAGACCGGGGTCTGTGTTCCTTTTGGGGTCGGTCAGACCGCCTGTGAGGTCTCCCGATTCGAACTACACACTGCCAGCTTTCAGCTTTCTGTCCGCTGCAAGCATTGGCTGGATCAAGTTTCTGCAAAGAAAGGGCTCACATGAATGTGAACAACAGTGAAAGGACAAAGTTCTAGATACATGAAAGATTTATCAAGCTTTCGGGCAAAATGCGAATCGAAAACCGAAACCCACCCAAAAAAGGTGTGGCTGGCCCACAAAATGAACCAAATGCACGACGGCCAGATATTGAATGTCAACTTTTGGACAAACAATCACACATTTACACTCCCTGAAACGATCATCGAAGTGGAACATAGGCCCCTGGAATCCCCTGCAAGACAATTTTCCTCTACAATTTCTACAAGGGGGTCCTGGTCAGTCTCCATGATTGTAGGGAGGGTGAAAGAACAATTCCACCGCTGTCCGCTTGCACTCAGAACAGCCAACTGCTGTGGTGTGTCTGAATCGTGAAAAAAGATTCCCCGGGAGGGGGCGACTCGAGTTCGTAAATCAGAATTCAGTGAAGAAAGTAATGCAATGGCTCTTGTCCGCCCAAATTTACTTATTGATCTGTAGGACAGTGGCAAACACAAGGAATTAACAGGCCTAATATATGGCCTAATACAGCATGTCCAAACGCAAAATCACAGCACAAAGCACTCACTTCATAATAAAGCATGCGAAAGGGCAACATGCCATAGCTGGAGTTGTTGGAAGTCTCGTTTCACCAAAGAAGGCGAGTCCTGCTTTTTCCAAATCCAGCTAAATCTGCTGGAAAAACCGCATCGCAGCTATGTCACACTGAACTTGTGTCTGCAGCCCAAAAAACAATCTTATAGGGTCTAAAATATGTTGTTTTGTGTTTTAATGTCTTTTAATTATTTAAGACCTATGTCAAAGCCAAAATCATCTATCATGTGACTCTGGATCCCTGGCAGCCTAGTGGCTCAGTGAGCACCAGCAGATTCACCAAAAATACCATAACCATCATAAATTGTCTGCTAATGCCTAAAGCCCATGTTCTCATTACGACACTGGCCTCTTAGACACTCAGCGCAGCACTGCAAGCATTCACATTGCGACATCAAAATCCAGCTGTTCAAGAGGTTCCCCGACCAGGGCATCTAGCAAGGTCGGGGTGATTGAGGTGGATTCAATCCTCTTCATGTCGTCTTCGGGCGATGGCGCCTGGGCTCCAATCTATTCTATTGAATCTATTAGAGATATATCCCGCCATCGTTACGATCCTGCTTGGGAGACACGTCCGATGTTCTGCCAACAGCTGGATTTTGATGAGCTTTCTCCCCTGGAAGCCTCCACTGCCGATTTCGAAGTTAGAGCACTTCCGCCCCAGGATGCCATCCAATGAACAAGTGCCCCAAAGAATACATTACACTAGGGGTCGTCGTCAAAACACACCAGTGTACCGTCTCTTTGAGTGAGCATCATCCTCAAATGAGTCTTCTCTGAAAAGCAAGCGCGGTAGCATGGTTACAGGGACATTTCAGCAAATGAATGATGCTTGCGAGGTTTAGGTTAGACCTCAGCCTCAACCTACCAAAAAACTGCTCGCCCACCAGTTCCATTTCATCTATTCCCAACGGGGGATGTTGTCCATAGGCCCATCAGGATGTTGCCAATGAAGTTGCATGAGCATTCCTGGTTGGATGGCACAGCTCAGCAACCAATGGTTGCTCGTTTGGTCTCAGCAATCAGTCGTGCAATCTGGCAGAATCTGGCACCGGCCGTCACCTCAACGCTGCATTGATCGATTTCATGTTCTTTCCTTTGCAAATGCAAGGGGTCCATCCCCTTTGTGACAGTCAATGTCGGCTCATGGAGGCTCAACACTCAACCAACAAAAACGTGTTCTGTTCATGCATGGAACCAGCCATGTTCACACTCCATGCATACACTCTATAGCTTTTGCTGTGCTGACTGGAGCTGTGATCTCATCTGTGGCCAGTGCCTCATCAGAAGCGAAAGGCCTCTGAAGTCTATGTCTTCTCTCCAAGCAGCCTCAAATCTTTGTGACGAAGATGTCACGGGGTACGAGGGGTTTTGCACAAAGTCCTCTGCAGGGATTGGCGTGTGCAATAGCTCACCATCCATAATTAAGTCATGTTAAGTGTTATGCTAGCATGTGCTAGCAATGTGGCACGACTTCCTGGATGGCTTCTGCTTCAAATGAATCTTTGAGAGAGTGAAGGGTGGTGCACAATGCAAAATGCAACAAATCAGCAGGAAGCAACCCTCAGGCGCTTCCCGTTCAAGATCATGAACACTCAACTTGATTGCAGGACCAACCAAGCAAAACAGCTCTATCAGAATCATACTCTATCAACACTTTCAACTTGCGCAAGCTAGCAGCTAGCATGGCACAGACAGTCCAGTGTGGCTTGCTCAGCAAAGGGATGTGCAAACTTCTTCGCCCCAGTCAATGAGAGGATTGCTGGTGTCAGTCAATGAGTAAGAATGTCAATTCCGTGCATCTCCCCACGTCCATGCAACAGCAACCAACAAAAATTGCAATTTGGACCATCCCTCATCATGTTAATTATGTAATCTTATGTATATAAGTCATGGCGAGTCATGGATGGGACCATCAACTATTTCCCACTGTGAGCGAACAGGTGCCTCTCAAAGCTGCTGCGGCACCAGAGGAGGGTCGTCACACCGGCCTCGTTCCGGTCTCGAGTCCCGAGCGATGGCCTCCAACTGACAGACTTGAAAGGTATGCTGACAGGTTCGTTTTCTCTCTGCCCGTCATGAATTTCGAGACTACCCGCTTTGAGGCTCCACTGCCAATCATTGAGATGGTATCAGTGGCATCTGGCTGTGCCCTTTTTCTCCCCGCTCGCACAACTGGCAAACTGGGAAGCTTCATCCTCCAACATCACCCTTTTCAATGTTCAATATAGAATCTAATCTAGGAGTACCCTCCCTCCCCAACAACTGGACCCAACAACCACGGCCATCCTTTTTGGGCTCCTAATTCGTCGTGACGTCAGACCCCATGTGTTGTTATTGACCGTCGCGACCGTGGCAGTGGTGTTTCAACCAGTCCTCGAGTCCTCCAGGTCGGTCGTGAGGATCCCGGACCGCAGGGCCATCCAGCAAATCACCATCTTCAGGCCTCGCGCCCGGGCTGCGCCGCCCGGGCTGCGCCGATCGGAGGCTCCAGGCCGCGCCACAGCCGCTTCCCCCGTGCGGCTCGGCGGAGGCGGCGGCTCGGCGGCGCGGATCGGGTGGAAATGGCCTTCTGAAGGACCGCATGTTGCGTGGAAGATTTGGATGCAACACTTGTGGAAAGAAGACAACCACAGCTTATTGAGGGAGAAAAACTTCAAAGACATTCAAAGCTTGCAGACTTTCGGCGACGGGGGCAAAGCCCGCCCAGACCTCCGAAAGACCACCACTGGGCTTCCAGACTCTGAGCATGAAGACCATGGATCATCTACCTCGTCAGCTGGCTCCTGGCTCTGACCGCGACCTACTTGGATCCTTGATATCCATGTGGGTGTGGATTTTGGGAGAGGCCCCCTTGGCCCTGGCTGGGTCAACTGTTTCCCTCCACAAGGTCGAACTGGCAGGTCTCCCTGTTCAAAAATAGTATTATGTAATGTACATACACCCATGTACCTTGGTTGGAGATATGGATGTGGATCAGCAAGCAGCTATACCCATCGTGTTCCAAAGCGTTGTTGGCTGGACCTCGACTTCTGGATAGTGATTTCATGATAGGTTTCCATGTCCTTTTGGATGTACTAAAGAATCACTTTTACTACTAACCTAACCATCACTAAGCCGTGTTGCCACCAAAGCCCACGATGGTACCGTATGGCGCCCTAGGTCAGGAATCTCTACTGGTTGTCCTTGAGGATTGAACATTTCTATTAGATTCATCCAGAGATCTGTCGGGGACGAAACAGAAATCTGTCCTTGTCTGGGTGGAACCTCTTAATAAGTAGATTGGAGGCCATCGCTAGTGCGTTGGAGGCCATTATATATATATATTACTAGTAACAAGAAGCTACGGGTTGTTTCCTTTGGGGATTGAAAGCGGCCGCCTTTGCGTCCACCAGCGGCGTCCTCTCCGATCGGATAGATCCGGATTGGGAAGGTCGCGCTGTCCAAAGGGTACCGAAGTTGCTCTGACCTCCCGAGCTGACGAGAAGGGAGGATGGTGAGCAATCGCGTTGTGAGAGGGTTGAGCACAGGTTCATGAAGAACGAAGATGTTGTTCACAAAATAATACAATAATATATATATATACTGTACAATAATCATCTTTGTTTGGCCAACAAACATCTTCGCATGTTCTGTCTCACATGTTTTGCAATTCTCCGTGTCGTACACTTTGATACGGAATGCCCACCGCAATCTTGACCTGTAGCTGGGCCGGCATCTCTGAAAGCATCAGATGAGCTTCGTCTCAAACCCGAAATGTCCTGAACGTCTATATCAAACAACAATAAAAACAACTACCCTGGACCCCGCCCCCAGGGTCGTTCATCTCGCAAGGCCCATCAGACGGGCACCCGCGCCACGTTGTGGGAGGTCGATTCCTGAAGTGCAAAAAAAGTGACCGTCTCCCGACATGAAGCGATTGGTTGGCATGTTCGTGAGGAAAAACAAGGAGCATTTACACGCCAACGACAGCTGGAAGAGGTGACGGGTGACAGGTGACACATTCCCATGCATTCACTCTCCCGAAAAAAAAAAAAAAAACATGGAAACAAACACCCCTCTTGGATTGGACTCCCGGTGACAGCTGGGAGTCCAAAGACGTCACAAATACACGGTGAAACCAATGCATTTTCTATTGTGGGGATCTAGGTGTTAAGTCTATTTGGGATTATTTGGGGGTCTGCATTTTACAATATACATAACTATATATATATATAAACTATCTTTTGACATGTGATACCTTCATTAGTCCCAAGTCCCACCCCGCACAACGAGAAGTAAAGAAACTGAATGTCCTCTTCCAAACACCCCAAAGTGGTGACCGGTGGCCTTTTTTGGGGGGGGTGGTGAGTAGATCTCCAAATTCAAGGAGGACAAAGCATTTGTCTAATTAAACAACAACTCTTTGATGTTGACAATGCCATCATATGCCACGATTCTCTTAGGATGACTCTTTGGTCCTTCAAGCTGGTCCTTCACTCTTAAATGGATACGTTTGGTGCGTTTGGTTGAACACTCGTCTTGGGCCCTTACGGCCGCAACGATGCCAAGGTCGACCTCTTTTCGACCAGGTCAGACAGCGGCAGATCATCGTCGCTGTCGCCTGGAGCGCTTTGGAGCCGTTGGGATCGGCGCTTTGGAGCTCCGTGGTTGCTCAAGCTGTTTGGAGGGTTCTTCCAGAGACTGAATTTCAAGACAGTCACCCTACATGTACCACACAGTTTTTGCTTGGGAAGACTTTCTGCAGCATTTGGGCATCTCCCTTTTTGTGACTTGATATTTGCAATGATAGGACAAAATCCACCCCAAAGAGGTGTATATATATATATATTTATTTATTTATATAACTATACTTATAAAATCTTATAGATATTATATAGATATCGATCATTGTATAGTTGTATCTAGAGTGAGTGATGTACAGACTTGTCCATCAATATCATCAATCCTCTTTCCTCAATAATGACATGAACCAACAAAAAGGCACAAAGGCCCTACCAAAGCCTTGCCAGTCAGGTTGCAACCGCCATCAATCTTTTGCAGCTCACCAGAAAGAGGGATCAAACGGGCAAATAGGATTATAAAATCCAGAGATCCTAGCATCTCCAACTTCACTATCAACAGTTGGTAAAGCATGTGGTGCAATTAAGTTCATCTATTCCAACTTCACAGTACTAGCACTGCACCCTTGTGTGGTGTGCACACCAACACTCCATACACCATCACTCATCACTGAGACTAAGCATCAAGTATTGATACACATAGCATCACATAGCTACATTTTATGTGTCTGGTCTACTCGAAGCCGCCTTCGCTGCACTTCCCCTCAGCGGCCGGAGCCTGCGGCAGTGAACAGCAACGCTTCATTCAATTAGGCACCACAAGAATCAGGAAGCCAACAACAATGTTTGGTTTTGAGTTTGAAGCATTGCAGAAAGTTCAACAATGGTTGGGCATAAAGTAAAGAAGTCTGCGACAGTCTGTGCTTGTTCAAAGATCCGTGAGGGGTAAACGGATAGAACTTCATAGAACTTCTACGTCCTGCAGGAGTTGAGTCCCCCAGTAGCCGTGGTCTGTGGCCCAGTGAGTCCCCCCCCCATGGCCATCGCAGCACCAACAAGAGCTGAAATGGTGCACCTCCATGAGCTGCAAGAAAGCACGTCCCCAGGCAGCGTCAGTCAGATAGATAATGTCGGTCAGATCCACGCATCCACGAGACCCAAAGGTATCGAGTCTCATTCCAAAGACTCAGGGAGTGGTGGCATCCGATTCTGGTGGTTCCCCATGTAACGACCGGGATTTTTAGTGGGATAGCCAACCCATCTTCCAACCAGCTTCACTCGACTCAGTGCCTGAGGAGGCTGAGGCACTGGGAGTGGTGGGATCCTGAGATCAATGGTCTTTCCGGCGCAGGATCAACGTGTTTTGTTGGGCAACCCGTCACCCAGGCGACCCTTCCAGAAGGGATGCTTCTGGAAATATTCCCAACAAGTCACAAGTGAATAAGGATGCTTCCTACACCCTGGAAGACTAACATGGAACCTGAAAACCCCTGGTTGGTAGAGGAAAATAGTCTTCCATGGGCCCATTGTCAGGGTCTATGTTAGTTTTCGGGAATGTAAGTTTAGCCCATGGGACTGTGGAAGTACATGACGAATTTTGTCATCCCGGATGATTCACCTAGTTCTTGATACTCCCGTTCTTTTGGGGGCCAATGGCTTCACAGTGGCCACAGCCCGAGATTGAGAGGATCCATCAACATCCAGCTCAACCAGTCTCATAGAAAGTGTCAAACATCCAAGCACAACTACCCAATCTGCCCAGGCCCAGGCCTATGAAAAACAGTCTGCTAGGAATCGCACAAAGGCATGACCACCCTGCTAGTCTTCATGGCATCCTCCTTGGCCAGGATCATGCGCATAGGCGGTTCTTTGCCAGGAGCAAGCCGCGTTGCTTCCTCCCAGAAATCATCTCTTGTGCAACAAACCAAAGCAATTGGCTGACACATGGCTGTTCTTTCTGAAGATAAAACCTTGAACTAAAATAAACGAATTCCAAATATTCCCAAGGCATCGGGCCACATGATGGCCTCCGGCATCCATCAAGCCTAGGACCGTCCTCATCCGCACCGCCCAGCCCTGGCTGTACAGCTGACTATCACCTTGGGGTATCGGGGTATCCTCTCTATGAATCAACCAACGAAGCGTGTTAAACGGCCATCTCCCAAATTTAGTGGCCTACCAACCCTTGAGCTGGAACAAATACGCACTGTTACAGCCTCTCGGAGATGATTGGTTTTGGGAGAATAAGGGAATGATACCCTAACTATTATGGATACTCATCACCAATCAGTTTTTGTGAGAACTCTCCAGCCTCAGGCAGAACTGGTGGTAAAGCACCCTGGCTTCCGGCAGGTTCAGCTACCTGGCATCATCAAAGACCAAACCGCACGGTGGTCGACTTCCAAACACCACGGTGTGTAGCTCAATCACATGCATGAATGGGCTTCATACTTTTTTCAACCTTTCATCAAATGCTCGAAACACACGCCAGCTGCCACAAGCTATCTTTCCTGCATGTAGCTGCGGTCAACCTGTTCAATTAGCAAACTGGCAATCGCTCTCAATGAATCTCCAGCTCGCCGTGGCATTCGCCATTCGCCCCGCATGGCGGCTGACTCTTCAATCTGCGATTGCCATCCCCCAAATCGGTCGCTCACGCACCCAAGAGTGCTCGCTTGGCAGGGTGCACGAGTCCACGATTCTCCTCCAAAGCCTTGAGCATGGCACTTTGACTCTTCCCACTGGCTTTGATATCCTCGCGGTTGGCCAACTTCCTCAAGGCTTCGGACATGCCAACCTTCTCAGCCTTTGCGAAGACCGTCGCCTGCAGCTCCACCTCTTCGCCCTTGGGTGCCTTGGCTTTCACCGCCTTGGCCTTTGCCACTCCCTCTGCCCTTGGGCGGCCGCGCGCGCGTTTTGGGGCATCGGCTGCAGCCTTTGCCTTGGCTTCCTTTTCCATCGCCTTGGCCTCCGACACACGTGGCTTCTTTGCTGCTGGCTCTTCAGCACCCTCACGCGGCACGGGCACGTAGGACTTCATGGCTTCGTCATAGGCTTCCTTCTTGGCCTTGTATTCATCCTCATAGATCTTCTTCTCTTCTACACTCAGCGCACTCCACTTGGCAGATGCCAGCTTGGTCACTGCGGTGATTGGTTGACCAGGGGTCTCCTTTTGGAAAGCCGCGCGGTGCTTGGCCAGGAAGCAACCATAAGCACCTCCAGCAGGGCGCTTCGGGGCATCTGGGTCTTTCTTCTTCTTGCCATCCTTCTTGCCCTTAGCTTTGCGCTGCTTCTTCTCGCCTCCGGCTTCCTCGAATGCCTTTAGGTCCGCTTCATACTTGGCCTTGGCAGTCACGTACTTCTCCTGATAGATGGTTCGCTCCTCTTCACTCAAAGCCTTAAACTTGGCCGAGGCCAGCTTCGTAATCTCCGTCACAGGCTTTCCTTGAAGCTCCTTCTGTAGCTCCGAGCGCTTCTCGGCTAAGAACTGCCCAAAAGCACCACCTGTAACCTTCTTTGGCTCGACCAAGGCCATGTCAAATGCGAGGAGCGCGGGAGGTTTCCCCGTGGGAACAAATGTGGCTCAAAGGCTTGAGTCTGTGATTGACCGCGAACAAAAAACAAAGCTGGCACTCCGTCTCGCCATACACACATATCAAAGCAACACACAAAGCTTTATATATCAAAGCAAGACTATCAAATACAAAGACCCCACGAGGAGGCGCGGTGAAACAACGTCTGACGACATGCCATGACACGCGACTATCTTTGATTCACCAGTAAAAATCAACCTCAGATTGAGACAACTTTCATGTTTGGCACAAGAACATGCGGCGTGTGTTCATCCTGGCAAGAACATTTGGATGAGTTTGCTCGATTGAAAAGTCATCTTCCAAGTCTTAGCAGGGCCGAACAATTGACTGGCTTGGATCATGTGGACATTGACCTCAAAATTCATTCGCGAGATCGTAAGGCTCTCTATCAACAAATACTGACTATAAACTATATATAATATATATTACAAACTCATCTAAACTCGATGTCAAGTCCTAGGCACTGGCAAAGGATTTACGTACTGCAGAGGGAAAAGAGCAAAGAAATCGTTGTTTTTTCGGGTTTTTCCTCCGACCGGGCACTTTTCACACCTGCGGGCTGAACTCCCTGGGAGCCAGTGCAAACCCGAAAAACTGCCGGTCCCAATAACCTCCCCTTCCATACCCGACCTGCACCTTCTCTGCTAGGGCTGCCCTCTGCCCGGCCGCGAGCTTCGCTTTTCTGGTGACCGGCCGCGCGATCACCTCAACCGCCGCGATGGCACATTGGACTGCGGTGTTTGGGTTGATGGGCAAGGCGGCAAGGCCTCCCATAGGGTCCAGGACGGTCGAACGTTACGGGAGGGTCGAAAGGAGGTGAAAGGTACTTTCAGAGACTGTCCGAATCGGAGCCTAAAGGACCTCCGATTCGGAGAGTGCTGGACCACATGAGCAAACTTGGTCCACTCATCAACCAAGCAACCTTAAACACAGCAAGAGGCACTAATAGCATCTAATAGCACTAATAAGCACTATATAGGTCACAAGGCAACTTACAGTACGCCGACGCCCACAGTCGATGTTCCGAAAGTCAGGCGTGCCACATGGTTCCAATGGTTGTGACATGATCCCTTTGGGAATTCAGCAACACATTTGAAGTGTTTTTGTTGCTACTATTTGCTACTGGCAATTCAGTAACGCAAGAAGATCCACAAGACTTACAGTACTGGAGATCAATTCAGTACTGTTACTGAAGACACTTCTGTGGTATTTCCAGTCTTCAGGTCACCATTTCTGCTGTGCAGCAGAAGAAGTTTTATCGTGATGACGTGGTGGAGACCAGGCGTTGTAGGCGAGTCGGGGCGAATGGGACACCTTACAAGTTGAACCCCTGGCATGTGTCTTCCACAAACAAGACATACACTGTAACAAAGGGCTACTAGGAGCAAGGACGCTACCTAGGGGCTCCTGGCCTTACTACTAGTAACAAGAAGCTACTGGGAACAAGGGCACCGCTATTAGTAGCTAGAAGCTACTAGTAGAATCCCAAAAAAGGAAGAAGGTCCAGAACCCTCACCACGGTCTGGTGAACCGAATCCGTTGTGGACGCTTCGGCCTTCGTCATGGGAGCTGCTAGAGCTTTCCCCACTTCCTGGGGCTCGTCATGTGGCGCGCATTGGCGAAAACGCGAAACAAACAATTCATTTAATTAAGGCTCCTTCCAGTTTTTTGTTCTAGGGCAAAACAGTTTTTTGATGGTTTGTTGGGTCAGTGGTCGAGCATAAGAAAGCACTCAGAAAAATGCAAAAACCCACCCATGGAGCCCTCGTCAATAATCTTGGTCGATCTAACAGAGTGTGTATCGATTGTAAGCCTTGATCTTGCCTTTTTACATGCCACTTGTTCTCTGCTTCCAATTGTCAAGTGCCACTATGGGCCACTATCATGAACATCTCCAAGTGCCGAAACACCAAACATGATCTCGATTGAAGAAATATCCCTAAACCCTTCCTGGATGCGGGAGTTGATCCGGCCTCATGAACAAACGCCGAACCACGTGTATCCTCAGTCATGGGATCCTGACGACTTCTCGTACGGTCGCCACTCTTCGTCGCGTTCGGACTCCACACCTTGCGCAGCTTCCACAGCGGCACGCTGCCTTTCTTTGCCTGGAAAAGGGAACCATGGGAGAGACACCGTGAAACTGCTCAAAGTACGGTGTTTAGTGAAAAGGACATTGTCCTTTCAGCAGGATTCTGTATATAACGGTCAATCATGTAGTCTATACCCCACTTTGGGGTTCACCATGATGGGTGCCGGTGTTTTCACATAGTTCCCACAAGTTGTGGCTCATATGATATGTCCCATGTTACATACAAAATATGTATCGATCTTCCAATATTAATTGTAATAGAAATACAATATAATATAATATATTATAGTGACTGTTATATACAGTATATATATATATATATATCATATCATGTTATGTGATATAGTCTATGCATGTTTATGTGATTGCACGGCCCAAAGGTCGTGAGTGTTCCATGCAAAGGTCCTTTCCAGGGGCCTTTCACCTGCTTTACTCCGAACGGCGGGGTTTTGGAAGTGGATGGCCTGGCCCTTGGAGTGTAAAGGTCCGTTCGGTCCATCTACAGTTCGTGGAGGGCCTTGGTACCCCAAACAGAAACAACACTGTAAACTGATTGCGCAGTACTCAGTACCATGATCAGGTAAACCTCAACGTCATTTCATGGTAAACAATTACTGAGCGATCAGATTCACAAACAAGCATCAGTACTGCATGGGAACCGGATCCTTCCAATTATATTATATATTATACGATATCGCTCTGTTGTGCGAACCATTTCCATCCCGTCTCACCTGTCTCACCATTTCCATCGTTGTTGAACCAAACGGGTCGTGCCGTGCCTTCGCCCTCCTTGCCGTAGCCGTCACCTTCGTCACCTTCCTCCGGCCTCTGGCCTTCACCTACCATCTGCGGACCGGGAAGGCGGATCTCCGCGCTGCGACACACGGCGTCCGCTCGTTTCAAAGACACGGCGCGGACCTTCCGTCGAGCGGACTCGGCATGGTACACTAGTGCCTGACTTCTTGAACCTGTTGAGGTCTCCATGTCATTTTGAAGATCATCCCCAGAATTGTGACTGGCTGGTGGATCGAATTGCTTCTTTCTTGAGAGGGAGGGAATGTTGTGTCCATGAGGCGTGGGAGACGCTGAAAAGCAACCACACCTGTCTAAGACTGACTATCTCTCAGTGTGCACTGCACTTCATTCTGCATGGACTGCGTAATACACGTGAACGTGGCCAACGTGATGAATTGGTGCCACGTAGTTGGTCGCTGGTCCATGCTCGCCGACCGAAAGTAGGCTCTTCCCCAGCAGGATCGCTTTCGCACGAGATGAAACACCTCTGAAGCTCCACAGCCCAAAATGTCCACGGCACTGGCTGAAGCTCCACTCGGAGCAACCAAGCATTACTGATGTGGGTGTGTATTTCCAATCCGGGATACCCTCTTTCTCGCCCCTGGCTGGGCCGACTGGTCTAAGTCCCTTCTTTCAGGGGGTCGTTGCCTGGGAGGTCTCCCTATTATCATACACACCCATGTAATGAATCTCTATACTACAGCTTTTCTGCGTGACCACGAGAATGCGGGACAGTCACACCGAGACAGCTTTCCTCCAGAAAACGCCCGCATCGGTGCCCAAAAAACCTTGGTCACGCAGTATGATGCCCATTCATCCCCCTTCCCCAGCCTGACTCCCTGGAAAAGACCGACTGTCCACCTGTTCACCATGCACGCATACATCCAGGATGCGGTGGACACTGGACACTCTGGTCCGCTCGATACAACACAAATATCGAGATCACGTAGGCCACCTGTTCTTCTTTCCCAAACAAGGGGACCCACGTGATCACCCAAACAAGGGGCCACCTGTTGATCACTAGATCATAGAGTCATAGAGATCTGGTCCTCTTATCTCCCCCAAACAAGGTGACCTGCAGATCCACCGAACTCCAGCTGTCGCCTCTCTCACCACGCCTCTGCGCCGGAGCTGGTGAGCTTTTGCCGCCGGAGCCGTCTCCTAGCGTCTCGCTGGCGAAGCAGGAAGAACGCTAAAGGAAGGCTCCAGTGATCGATCTCGGGTCAAATGGCTCTGGATCAAATCAGGGATAAATTGGTTGACCAAAGGTAGATAGATGTCGAGTCTACATGACATCTCAGGCTCCGGCGGTTTATTAAGTTAAGTCATCTCCTCTCTGAAGTTTCATGTTTGGGGTGGTCAACCTACCTGGTGGACGACCATCGGGCACTTTGGATCCATCCGCCACAAGTGCCGGAACTGCTTGACCAGTCCCATGGGGGGAACAAGACCAGGCCGGAGGCCTCCCAAGCAGACCAACAACTAGACATTTGACATGCAAACTTCAAGTCATTCCTTTCTACACCAGTTATCTGAAGCAATTGCTTTGGACTTTGCGCTTTTTTTCCCAATGATTTGAAGTCCGAGTTGGAGACATCACTTCACTTCCGATCTTCACCACGGCGAATTCCGGCGAATTCCGGAACTCCAACGACCGGACGTTCGGGTCGGCGGTCGGGCCGTTGACCATCGGTGTTGTTGGATGGAGAAGTACTCCAGGTGGTGCTACCAAAAGGTCACCTACTGCTATAGTGGGTAGACATGCTTTGTCTTAGCACAGAAACATGTGATCATCATGTGAAACCCAGCGTCTGAGCGTCTGGGCGTCTCCTGAAGAGATCCAGTGTCCCCCGATGGCCTGGCAAGATCATGAGCAAGTCATTTGCAGGGAAGGAAAGATTTGCAATGTGCCACTTGACTGTCAATGAAGTGCAGAAAGCCATATATTGAAATACACGCTTTCATATCGAGATTGATCCTGTTGAGCCTCTAAGACTCATCAGAAGACGTGGGTATCGATGCATAAGAATCGATGTATGAAGGTCTGAAGTGTGATTGAGGAGGCCTAGGCCTACCAGTCCCATGGAGTGTCTGCGATATGTAGGATCCCGCGATACCAAAGGACCATCAATGGACCCTGACACTGATACTCTGGGTCTTCTACGAGGTTTTCTTGGGTCTTTTGCACGGGTGTGAATCATCTAATGAATTACAAGGGAGACCAGCCAACCGCCGGCTGCTTTTCTTCTTCACTTTTCAACGGAAGAAGCTCCGAAGGGAACGGTTCACCAAAAAGGGCATCGAGTTCTTCTTCATCACCGAGCAGCGGGTGTGACGACAGCTCCGTAACGTATGCAGCGCGTCGTTCACGTCTGCCCGAGCCAAAGGAACATCCGCACCACTCTCTGATTCCTTCAGTGTCCCTTGAAAAAATGGTTAACCTTTGTCATCCTACAATCCATATGTTCATGTTTAGTGGGGAAACAAAATTGAAACCATTGCCAATCCCCCCTAAAAGAGTTAAAGGATGTTAAAGGGTAGGACTCTGGATCATTCCAAATCTGGGAGGATGTCACCCGAACCGAATCTGGGAGGCATGGGGAACCCAACAAACCCGCACGAAAACACATCAAAGCCGATCCGCACGACACGCACGTTCCGCACGTTCGTCAAGACCATCGTTTTCAGCGAAAGCTGAAAGCTGGTGAGCTTGATGGGCGATGCCCAGGTCTCTAGCAATGTGCTGATGCACAAACTGCAAATAACATCGAATTCATCGATGAATGGACTCGCGCATCATCTGCAGGGCTGTGTCTGTTTTCTTCTTTGGGTCGGCAGGATTTTGTTGCTTCGCCCACCCAAAACATCTCATTCGGCTGATCTCGTCATGAGCCTCCTCTTCTTTACAGCTCATCATGAGCCTCCTCCTCATCATCATCACCACCACCTCCGCCACCGGCTCCACCGCCACCATAGTACTTGGACACAATGGGAGCGCAAATTCCTTCAATCTCCTCAAGACACGCAGAAGATGCCTGGAGACCCCTTCAAAGTGGTCACTTTGAAGGACAACAACATGTCATGTGAAATCGTGAAGTGAAGTGGTCATTTCTAATTGTTCACAGTGACTTTGTGTCTTTCAAAAAGAGAAACTAACCAAAAAAATTGATTATGTTCCACCTTCTTCCGGTCCTTATGCTTCTCCTTGATTTCCTCAGCATCGGCCTCTGGGTTAGAGTCAAGCCAGGATTGCCCATCCTTCAAGGCATCTAGGATCTTTTCCTTCTCGTCCTAGCAGCGCTGCCAGGACTCGACACACCCGGCCCAGGCTTGACAGGTCTGACCAAACATGCGAGATGTCTTGAGAGTTGCAAACCCTCGCCTAACCCTACGCCTAACCCTTTTTCTATCATCATCATTATCATCATCATCATCAGCAGCAGCAACAGCAGCAGCAGCAGCATAATCATCATCATCAACATCATTATCACCATCGTCATCGTCATCGTCATCGTCTTCGTCATCACCATCACCATCATCATCATCATTCCCATCTGCATTGGGCCCACTACTATATAGTTGAAAGTATATTATATACTTCCCCTAAGAAGTTGAAATGGGCCACACCGCATGGGGTCTGTGATTCTTGATCCTTCCTTCTCCAAGCGTGAAAATAGCACACACTTATGGATATGCGCACTGACTTGACAGCGGTGCCACACGCCAGCCTAAGAAACCCAAATCCTGAAAGGTCCAGGAAAGTCCTAAAGAGCCTGGGGTCTTCAAGAGGAAGTGGGGCCAAACGCGCAAGTCGTAGTCGAAACGACAGGGTGACGACGGCCGCTCACATCTGCAGATGCATTAGCCCTTTACCAAAGGTTAAAACTTGCAGGTACGCCGAGTTGATCAGACTCGGTATCCCGTGATTGTGGTAGCTTCGTTGAGTGCGGTCCCACAATCACGCCGCACTCCCCTGCTGAGTAAAAACAATTCAAAAGAATTCCGGTGACTACAAGGGGCACACACACACACGCCTCCCCAAGGGGAGGCGACTTGAAGGCGCGGACCAAGTAGTAGTAAGGCCAGGAACCTCTAGTAGCGTCAAAGTAGCAACCTAGCACGTAGGAAGGCCAGGAGCCCCTAGTAGCAACCCAAGCTAAGGTCCCGACAGGAGGGAGGGGTAGGGAGAGACGAGAAAAAGGAAAGAGAGGAAAGGAAGATGTTCCCAGCTACGACGTATGCGTCCAAGGACACACCAAAGGAAAAGAGGAGAAGGGCTCCCAGCTATGACAAAAGCATCCAGGGACACCCAAGGAGGAAGGAAGGTGAAGAGAGGAAAGAAAGAGAAAGAAAGAGAGAGGGAGAGAAAGGGAGAGGAGAGAAAAGAAAAAAGGCAAGCGTTCTCAGCTACGAACAATCGTCCAGGGACACACCACAGAAAGAAAGGTGTGATCCTGAGTATTCCATTCAGGAAAGCACCAAAAAGCAAAGAAAGAAAGGGGGAGGGGAAGGGGAAGGGGGGGGGGACTAAGCTCGCGACAGGTTCCAAATGAACCTTAAACTTGCTTTGACCGCTCTGGTCACCTTGTGCCCTGCCGAAATGGCTGGCTGCTTTGACCGCTGCGGTCACGTAAAAGCATGAGCCAACTTGGAATTCCCAAAATGAGACAAACATCCCAGTTCTTGTGGCGTGAGCCATCTGCTGTCCGCTCCGGACATCTACGTTCCCAAAGCCGGGCGGGTCCACGGGAGGCACTCTGCGGGCTCATCCCGGGTTGGCACGAAGCCAAACACACTTATGGATAATATGCGTACTGACTTGACAGCGGTGCCACACGCCAGCCTAAGAAACCCAAATCCTGAAAGGTCCAGGAAAGTCCTAAAGAGCCTGGGGTCTTCAAGAGGAAGTGGGGCCAAACGCGCAAGTCGTAGTCGAAACGACAGGGTGACGACGGCCGCTCACATCTGCAGATGCATTAGCCCTTTACCAAAGGTTAAAACTTGCAGGTACGCCGAGTTGATCAGACTCGGTATCCCGTGATTGTGGTAGCTTCGTTGAGTGCGGTCCCACAATCACGCCGCACTCCCCTGCTGAGTAAAAACAATTCAAAAGAATCCCGGTGACTACAAGGGGCACACACTCTGACATTGGTTTTCAGTTACAAGCTGAGAAGGACGGTGAAGGAACAGAAAGGTGCATGGGTCCGCAGAACAGTATTGTTGAACAAGTGTTGATGCGCATCTGCAGTGACTCGGCGGCAGCTCACGAGCGGTGGAAACCTGTTTGGGGAAAAATAGCATGAAAACCACCATGGAAACAAAGAAAAGCGGCGAAGAGTGGAGTTGTATCACGATTCAGGTACATGGTTGAGCGTCCTCAACCACTTCCCTTCCAGTGACCCAGCTTCGTTGGATCAGGTTAGTCACTGGAAGCCTGATCCCCCTGCCTCGTTGAGTGGTTGTAATGGAAGTCAGTGGCATAGAACCCTTTGGTACAGGGGGTGACACACACGCACACTCTCTCGCCAACCAGCCAACCAACCAACCAACCAGCCAGCCAGACAGCCAGCCAGCCAGCCAGCTAAGGCCATCCATCCGTGGCTTCCAACCCATCTTCTTCTGAAACACCCTTTGTCACCGTACCGTCAAACCGTTCTCAGTACATAAAACTAAACTCCAAAGTCATGACTAGAATAGTCACGTCTCATCTGCAAAACAGAGTCTTCGTTGCACTGACCCCAAATCAACCTGTGGCGCCGAGCGCGGTATTTCCATGTATTTCCACTATTCTGCGGAGTTGACCCGCTGTGTTCACCCAACAACCATTCCTGGGTGCTCGGGAAACCATGAACGACAAAGATTTGATGTTGCAACCCAGGCTTGTCGTGGGTGTTGTCTTATGTGTTTACTCGCTTAGAGGCTTAGAGTGTGTGACAGTGCGAGCCCTTGAAATCTGGGGGGCAAGCACAAAGCACCTTGAACCATCTTGAACTTTCTTGAACCTTCATCATCTTCATCCAACCAATCAACCACCCAACCAACAATCCCAACCATGCAACATCAACAAAATCCACCAAGCTTACCCCAACGTCTCCACCAATCATACACCCCAAACATATCGCTTTCGATCTCCCTCTCCAACATCCGTCCCAAGTCTCCGAGTCCATCTTCTCGCTCAATCCCTTGTTGTCGCCCGAGCCCTCAGTGGCGGAGCGCATGGAGTGGATGTAGCCGTCGAAGGCGTTCTTCGCGTCCACGCGCTCCTTGACCTGGGGCCGCCAGACGGTGCGAACGGGCGGGGCCACGGAACGGTGCGAGAGTGCGAGAGGGGGAGCGGCGTTCGGTTCCGGAGGGTCCCGGGGTGAGGAAGAATCTCCAACAAAAAAGACGTGCCTGGCTGGCAGGGAGAGATTTACACTGATACTGTGGTTCGCAAAGCTCAGTCAGTGAGGCAGTTTCCACATGTTTCAACCAATGGTGGCACATGGATGATCTTCTCCGTCTTAAACCCTGGCTGCCGCGCCTTCTTGTCCTCATCGGCAAACTCCTCTGCCTCGCGGATCATCTTCTCGATCTGCTCCTCGGTCAACCGGCCTTTGTCGTTTGTGATCGTGATCTTCTCGCTCTTGCCAGTACCCTTGTCTTCGGCGCCCACATTCAGGATGCCGTTGCTGTCCTAGGACGCTGTCGCAGCACGTCAGGAAGGGGGAAGGTAGGTTCTGAGTTTCAGTGAACTCCAGATACGTCTACTAAGTGCTACTCCGCCGGCCCTGGGGCACGGCGTGTTTTGGGTAGTTGGTTTTTTGTTAGTTAAGCTATGTCTTGAAATCCCCCCTAAGTTGGCTTTCTCGCTGCGGC